ATCATCATGCTCATCATCATCATCATCATCATCATCATCATCATCAATATCATCATCATCATCATTCTCGTCATCAGCGTCATCAACATTATAATCAACATCATCGTCATGATAATTTTTTTCATCATTCTGCGCATCATCATCATCGTCGTCCAAATCAACATCATCATTGTCATCACCAACATTGATATAATCATCATCCTCATCCCCATCGTCATCGTGAACATCATCACCAACATCGTCATCATCATCATCGTCAGCATCATCATCATCATCATCTTCATCATCATCATCATCATCATCATCATCGTCCTCAACTTCATCTTCATCATCTCCATCATCATCATCATCGTCATCGTCCGGATACTCGTCATCGGTATCATCATCTTCAACATCATCATCATAATCATCATTATCATTATCATCAGCTTCATCATCTGCGTCATCTTCATCATGATCGTCATCAACTATAGCATCGCATTCATCATCATCATCATCATGATCGTCCTCCTCCTCCTCATCATCATCTTCGTCACCATCATCATCAGCGTCATCATCCGAACCGTCATCATCATCATCTTCAATATCGTCAACATGATGATCATCATCCCAATCGTGAACATCCGACTGATCATCATCATCATCATCACTCTCATGCTCACCACGATCATCTTTTTCATCATCATCGTCATCTGAGTCTTCATCATCCTAATCTTTATCATGCGAATCATCATCATCAACATCCGAGTCATCGTCATCATGAATTCATCATCACCATTTTGATCATTATCCTCATCATGATCATCATCGTTTCAAATATCTGCATGATCATCATCATCGTCATCAACATCATCAACATCATTATCAGCGTCATCACCGTCATCATCATCATCTTCCTCATCCGAATCATCATCATCCTCATCCGCATCATCATCACCGTCATCTTAATGATCGTCATCATCATGAGCATCATCATCGTCATCATCATCATCATCGTCATCATCCTTATCATCCTTCGAATCATCATGATCATCGCTCGATCATCATCATAATCATCATCATCTACATCATCATCAGCGACATCATCATCGTCATCGGAATCATCATGTTCCTTATCATGGTCATCTTGACGATCATCATCACCCGAATCATCATCATCATCATTATCATCCGAGTCATCATCTTCATGATCCGAATCATCATCATCATCATCATCATCGTCATCATCCGAATCATCATCAGGCGCGGCATCGTCATCATGTTGATGATCATCATCATTAGCTTTCTCGTCGTTTTTCCCCTGCTTCCTAACGTCCATCGGGAATGTTTTCGAAATTCGATTTCGATCACTTTCAGATGCTGGCGTTATTCCAAGTCGGTCTTTGTCTGTAATAGTTCGTCCTTTTTTGTGATCTTGAACTGATGTTCGCATAATTAATTTGGGAGCGATAAATGTAGGTCATTTTGATGTGTTAGTTTGTCAATCAAGAGACTTGAGGCCAAAACGGATTAAACTAGGCAGCAGTTGAACAAGAAAACTTTAAGCCACATAAACCAATTTTCACCACCGATGTTGGAGCTATTATAGGTAAAACCGTGTATATATTACTTTTGTAACGGTCACTAACCCCATCACGCCAAAAATGACCCACATCAAGACTGCCTCTTTCAAGGGATTATTTTTTAAACTCTCTTTTTCTCTCTTGCTCTGTCTCCGACTGTTTTACACAAGGTGACCTTAGCAAATGTAGACTCTCCAATTCGGCACCCAGTTCACATACAACCCATGAATGGGTGTCACGGAGATCGTGGATGTGAGGAACGGNCCTCACAACCTCAATGAAAGGGATAAAGGTGGATAATGATCGGAACAGTGTGCCTATGAAAACGCTGGACTTAGAAACATATGCTTTATTACACACGCACGTACGCACGCGCTCACAAGCGTGTGCACAAAGGCCTACGCACACGAAATCACCAACTATACATCACATGTGTTTCAACACATGCATATAGGGCCATCAGCCAGCGAGTTGTCCGTGTGTCGCTCTATCCTGCCCCTGCTTCTGTTTGTCTATCCCTGCTCACGTAAGCTGTACGTTTGCAGCTAGCTGCGGTCGTCTCCTTCAATGCGTTCACACCCACGCACTGTTGGCATCATCTACGGGCGACGAATAGGCAACTAACCACGTCACCACACGTGAGTACCCATCTCTGTTTTCGGTACGGACGGACATATTCTGCTCCGTGTAAGCAATGGTATGGTGTGGTTTGATCCAACAGACAATAATTCTCGACGCTTGTGCATGTTACGGTCAGTCTATAAACTCAGTAACGAGTACGGACGCACCTACGTGTATTGTGAGTGATCACATGTATCCGAAGCATGCACACACTGACACACAAGCGGGCGCAAGCACCAGAAGACTCAAACACCCGTGTTGATCGGTCGACAGACAGATGTGTGTTTGTGTTTATTGGCGGTCATGGTGCTCGGTTGAGTTGGCTCGTTCCTGTCCGCTCCATTTCATCTTTTCGGACGACAAACCGGCACACACACATCTACCCAGGCACATACGTACACAACCACGCGCGTGTATTGAGAAACCAAATCTCACATTTCCTTGTGATATTGACGAAATGTAGATCCTTGTGGCGTCCTTCAACCAGTAGGTGGTCTCTTATCTACCGATAAATCTGCACACACGCACACACTCAAATAGGCGAAAATCGTGCATCATACCTGAGCTTGGTACAATTACTACATATCTATAGTACCTTATTGTTCACATCACATGTGCGCAGTCATTATTGTTCATTCTAAACGCGTTTCTATCGTTATGCCACGCTTGTCTTATCCCACGTGCGTGTGTGTGTACGGGAATGCGCGCTTGTGAATGTGTCGGTGTGTCGGTGTGCATGTGAGTGATTTCCATTATCAGTGTTTCAATTTTCCGGACAAAATTCATCCACGTGTTTGAATACAACCAGTTTCACGAAAAGTTTAAAATTATCGAAACCACGTTTGTGTGTTCAGCCATTCACTTATTTTGGAATTAAACTGATCAACCACCCTCACACACACACACACACGGATAGGAAAGTGTTTCCTTCGATCGCCATCACAAAACCTACTTTTATCGGCCTAGAAACCGGAACCTACCAGTTTCACAATGGCTATTGCTGTGACTAATATTACCGGATCAATCAGCTTGTCCATATCTGATGCGGATTCATTAACTCATGGTGCAGGCACCATACCGGAATCAGTGTACACATCCACTCTGTCTATGACCAATCCCAGTGTCTCGGACAGCGGAGAAGAGTCGGGAGAGTCGGCATCGAGTCAACCGCGTTCCATCTCGGGCACGGAAGTGTATTCGGAAAATGTGGTACACCCCTATATACAAACAACATCAACAACAACAGAAACAACTCGAGAATGTCATTCCGGTGAAATTCTGATACCTGATGGTGGACATCGGACACCGGATGATGCTCAATTTTCTCCAAATGTGGCGCATCTCTCCACGGCTGGGGGAGAGACAGAAAATGCTGGCAGTTTACGATGGCGCCTCCGCAATACAAAACTATTTATTGGCCAGATTCCGCGTAGCATGCAAGAAGAAGATATTCGATCGATTTTTGAACCGTTTGGTCCAATTTACGATTTGTTGGTACTACGTGACAAACTAACTGGAATGCATAAGGGTAAGTTGCTGGGGGATGCTGGGAGGAGCATAGTGACCATTTTTGGTTATGACTGTCTTGGAGTGAGTCATGTTCCACGATTGTCCACCGAGTAGATTGGGATGTCACAAATGATTTCGATTCAAGCTAACTTTGCTTGGAATAATATGAAAATACGAATAATCGTTGGATGGTGTTTACGATCAAGCGGTTTCATTTGTTATCAGTCGATACATAGGCCATAAGATTTGAGGTTCATACCCTACCACCTCCGCCTCCACCCAATTTTGGTGGTACGTGGTTTAACTGCCGTCTAGCATAGTGTCACATTTTTCCATTGTGGTGTTGCATTCCAAATCCTACTGCTTAGATTTTGGATTGCCACTAGTGAAACAGTCGTGTGTAACCAAAAAAGGATAGGCAGAAGAGTACCAAATAAGAATATCTGATGTATTGAAACGATAATGCAATCTGAAAAATGCCTCCCGGAATGAGTTATAGAATTATTCAAATATTTCTCATTATCACTGAGTATTGCAGAAATTGACAACATCGGTGTGCACACCACTGCACGGATGGTGTGAATATGGAATTCCGAAAAAGAAGAGTGACAAACAACCGACCTTCTTACATGCAACATACTGTTTACAATGGTCGATGAGTTTAAATCATCACCGGTCAGTCAATAAACCAATGCGTACATAATAAATTACCCAATAACTGATGCCTTGCGAAGTAGATAAAACACTCTCGACTTCGCTGTATTTAACTCCTCAAAGGAGAAAAACATACTGTTCGATCAATAGTTGATTAAAACAGCCGGATATTCCAAGTCCCCGAGTATTTTCTTTCATATTGTTTTAAGTATATATGCATCGCCTCAGTAATATACAGAAACGACATGCCATTGTGGTTTTAAGTTACACACCAACTGTGGGGATTCAAATTTGCAATATGAAAAGTTCATTCTGATTTGGTGACATGCACACGCTTCTGTCATCCTAAGTTTGGACCCGGTAGCCGCGGTCAAACTTCATGGTAGACTGCTTTGTTGTCGTGTCTCTCAACAGTTGGTGCGCTTTGTGTATTCCATCGCTTTCATATTCTCACTACCCAAAACAGAGCAGTAGGTTTTAGTGATTGCGAGATTCACCCATTCTATTGCTTAATGCGATATGCTAAGGGAAAATAACTGTAAATAAAGAATCCACTGGAAACCAACGCTGTCGGGAACAAAAAATATAGCCCGAAATAGCAGCAGCAACAACAACAACAACAAAATTCTCCTCCTCACTTTATGTAATGAAACGTGAAGTGTTCCCTCCCCTACCGAAGTAAGGTGATGTTCTGCTCAAATCCTGCAGGGATCGCAGCGCATGTGACGCGTTATATTAAACAGTTTATGGCACGATCCTAAATTGTCAAGTTTGGACATTCAGACCAGTACTGTACACGTATACAATCCCAGAGATACTTCAAAATGCCATTTCGGATGTTCTGTGTAAAATAACTCAGAGTTAATCAGAGAAAAAATGATCGTTTTTGAAAGAGACGAAAAAGACACTGATTTATGCACATACAGCAACATTGATGGATCAATTCTGCCCCAAATGGACACTTTACATGTACACACTCCGAAACCACTGTCCATCTTTCTATTATGTCCATGTGTTGTTGAATTCATCATCCCATTGATCCGTGCCTACGACTGTTCTTCACGCCGATTGCACATACACCCGAACCATTAGCCTTTTTGAACCGAGATTACTTCCCACAGTTGACTATCACAAATGCATGTGATCTTGTTTGACATTGTTTGGTTTATTCATTTTATTGTCGCTCTTCGCGCCTGCTTGCCCGCACATTTTGGCATTTGCTAAACCGAATAGTGCACAGTTCGAGGATTGCATATATTTCACCATTGCATTCCGTATTTCAGTACCATTTATGTAGAATAAACCCATTTGTTGAAAAACACCGTCTTCCGGGTATTTCGCGCGTCAATTTAAGTGGATTGTTGTAGCCTATGAGGTCAACGTACATCAATCAAATTAATCTTTCACGAAAAATAACTCCGACATTTATTCGATCAAACGATGTGATTCCGTACGCAGAAAACGAATTCACCTTTAAGACTGTACATCAATGCAATCGGGTTTCTTCATCTGTGGAATTGA